TCTGTGGACACAACTGCTTCTTCCCGGTAGAATGGAAGCTTCTTGAGGACAGAGACTGGTTCATTTTTCTCTTTGTAGCCCTCAGCCCCTAGAACAGAGCCTGGTTAAGTGCATGCTACGTGCGCAGCTAAATTAAACTGAATGAAATCCAGATTAAATTCTGCTCCCAAGCCTTCGTTAAGCAGGAATTCATTCCGCACAGTTTCTGCCTCTAAAACCTTCCCAGCCCCCTCCCAGGAGGATTCTTCTCCAGGACTTGGAAGGATCCCTACATGTCTGTGCCCAGCCCTGGGACTGAAACATTTGGTGGCCCCCTGAAGTCCTCGGCATAAAGAGCCGCTAGAATGGAACACAACAGGGTGGGAATGATAAAAACCCCGAGGCAGATTTCATACCCGGATTTGATATGATCTGCTTCCTCTGGAGCTAAATATTGTATTGTCCACAATGGCCGGACCACATCTGAAGGAATACCATCATCAATCTGTGAAAATTCATTCTAAGGGGCAGAGGAGGGGGCATAAAAATAAGGGTAAGGAGGGGCTAGGAAATCATCTAACACTGTGCTAATTTTATATGACACAGAAATTAGTTTTCCTCATTGTGGGAAACACTGACTGACCCCCCCCCCACCCCACTACCACCACCACCACCCTCTCCTCCTTCCTCTCCCTCCCTCTGCTGTCCAAGTGTTCAGCTAATTTAAACCATTTGCTTAGAAAAATAATACTATGGCATTGTTCTCTCAAGGAAGAAAAAAAAAAGCCCAATGGTTTCCAGCTTCTATCTGATGTGCAGAGAACGGTAGATGCATAGACCAAATGTACGGTGACAAAATGCGTTAATTACCATCTCATCCAGAGAGGCCTCTTTTGTCAGAGCTACAAGTCATAATTTCACACAAAATAATGACCCAGATAAAGAGTAATGACTTCCAGCTACAGCAGCCACTAACGCGGGATCATTTTCTCATAACGGAATGGCAATTAACCAGTGTCACCGCTATATAGAAACAGGGACCAAGCTATTCATTAAGCAATTAAAATGAAAATATGAATCCTTCTGGGGACATTTAATTTCTGTAAACGTGCCCATCACTGGGGGCTATGAGCTCGGATGTCTGTCTAGTTCTATTCACACATGCACAAAATTCTTTACAATGGAGGAGAGTTGCTGACTTTGGAGAGAGGGAGAGGGCAGTGGGCTCCCCTCTCCTCCCAGTTGCTGGACTCTCTTTAAGCCCCTTCTGACAACAGAGAAAAGAGATGAAGAACCAAGGAGGACTCTTCCTTTTCCCTTTTAACCCTGAAATGGGCTAAAATGCCCAAAAAGTCCTGAAATGGACAAACACACAGGCAGGAAGATCTCGGTCCATCAATTTCAACCCCATGTCCATCAAGCAGAGAGAGGGAGGGCAGGAACTCTACCATACCCCAGGGGTCAGAGGCAGCACATTCCTTCTACTTCTAACCATCCATCATGAAATGAACTCTTTATAGCCACTGGCCGCCATCTTTACTTATCTCCTACTGAAAGCAGCACAGAGTCTCAAATCCAAGGGTTCTAGACAACTTCCCTCTCCTAAATTTCAATATTTGGGGCAAATTTATTAGGAAGTCTAGGCCTTAGTATCTGCCATATTTTTAGTGGAAAACTATCTACCTAACATCTATCTTCCAATCACCTATCTCCCAAGAGTGTGGCAGGGCTTTAACGAGCCAATTAGTTAAATCAAATTCAAGAAGGAGAAAAACCAAGATGATGGTAGCATTGAGTCAAAGCATTTTGTAAATAAATGTAGTGTGAACTCCATTATAAAAACAACTTAGGAGCTATTTTATAATGAGCTGTTCACAGCTCCATCTACATTGTGTTCGAACAAGGTCCCCCAGATCCATAGGGAAGCCTGGGCAGTCTCCCATTCTACAACATGATATACCCACAATGCAGGGGGTTTCTCACAGCGCTGGGACGTTGTTTAGTAAAGCTCTAAAAAATAATCTCTTACTCAAAAGGGCAGTGGTAAGCCCAGAAAAGTGAATTTAAATTCTTAAATTTCCTGATGACAGGTGAAAAGTGGCTTTGGCTAGGAAGGGGGCCTTGCCCTGCGGACGTTTATCGCAGCCCAGACAGGTTTAGACCTGGGCTGCATACCCTGGAGAAAGGTCATAGCTGCTGGCAGAAAGAAGTCAACCGTGTGCACCTTGCCCCAACCTGCCTGTCCATCCCCCACACAGCAGGTAACTCCTCGTGATGGGGAGAGTGCCAATAAAGTCAAAGGGACCACAATTTTCTCTGCCCTGATTACTAGCCCAATGTAAGGTAGCAACACACAAGGCAGGTGGTGGAGAGTCCCAGAATTTAGGGGTGCTGAGAGGCTATCTTTTTTATTCAGTCATTTCAGTTGTGTCCGACTCTTTGTGACCCCATTTGGAGTTTTCTTGACAAAGATACAGGAGTGGTTTGCCATTTCATTCTCCAGATGGTTTTACAGATGAGGAAACTGAGGCAAACTGGATGAAGTGACTTGCCCAGGGTCACACAGCTAGTAAGTGTCTGAGGCTAGATTTGAACTCAGGAAGATGAGTCTTTCTGACTCCAGGCCCTGAAGTCTAACCACTACACCACCTGGCTGCCCTCAGAGGCTACCCAGTCTGACCCATACTTGACTGAGAATCCCTTCTCCAATATGCCCACTGAGTCGCCATCCAGCCTTTGACCAAAGATGTCCAATAAAAAGAACCCTGCTACCTCCCCAGGCACCCTGTGCTACTTGGTAATTTTTCCAATTATTAGGGAGTTTTTCCTTATATCAAACCTAAGTTTACCCATTGTTCAAATTGTGAAATAGGAGAGGTGGGTTGAAATAACTCACAGGGAGGAGAAAAGGCCTAAGTATGGAGTAGGCAGGGTTTGTCTTCCTTTAAATCCACACAGAAGAATGTCTAGCGCCCCTCCAATCCTATCCAACAATCATTTATTAAGCACCTACCAGGCATGAAGTGTCTGCTAGGCTCTATGGATGTAACCACAAAAGAGAAAAAAAAAAACCAGCTGCAGGCCTAAAGATCATCCCATTAGAGTGTAAGCTCCTTGAGGGCACAAACTGTCTTTTGCCTCTTTTTGTATCCTCAGCACTTAGCACAGTGCCTGACACATAGTAGGTGCTTAATAAATGCTTGTTGGATAGGACTGGAGTGTTGCTAAGTGTTCTTCTGTGTAGATTTAAGAGAAGACATTTAAGTCAGAGTAAGTGACTGACTGACATGTGTACGGTTCGGGGGACTCATACTGTTGAATACTTCATCCTGAGCATCTCTCTGAGAAAGACCCCAAGATCTCTTTCAACAAACCACCATGGGAGCATGACTTCCTCAGTCAGCACTTCTGAAATTAACTGAGCCCAAGTGTAAGACTATACATTTAATCCCACTGAATTTCTCCTTATCAGACTCAGCTCAATGCTCTAGCCTGCCAAGATCCTTTCAGTTCTTCATTCTGTCACCTTGTGTGTTAGCCAGCCCCTCTCCTATTCCAACCCTAGCTTTGAGTCCAGTGACTCAAGGAGGATGAGGCAGGAAACTGAGTTTAACCTACTGGACTCAGGCCATGCAAAAATACAAAACTTTACATGGTGTGAACTGCTTTTGTCCATCTTACCAATTAACATCTGTCCTATGAGACAGGGCCAGCCAGGCAATGTTCCAGTTTGGCTAAGACAAAAATAACAACAACAAAATACCTCCAAAACATTTTTCAAAGTCTAATTTAGACATAGCCTTACTCCCTCCATCCTAACCACTGCTGCTCCATAAAAAACACAAGTGGCCTATGACCTTTTTACACAACTATTTTCTAGAATTTTCCCTTATTACTCAGGTTATAGACCAAATTCCATTCTCAGGATGTGTGCACACTGGAAAATTAAAGTACTTGATTTCCAAAAATTCCAAAGAGCAGCATGTTCAACAAACAAAAAAAATGATTTGTAGAAACACCGCCTTCTGATTGGTGGCATCTATATACGAAAGCAGGACCATAACCTTCCCTTTTACAAATAATAAACATGGTCCTCAGCTCTCCTGGTGCACCTGTCAACAACTCCATTGTGAGTGATTACCAACTCCTATAGCACACTGCTGAAGTGTGAAATTAGGTAGTGCAGTGGGTAAAATCCAGCATCAGCATCCTCCAGAGGGAGTGGGACCTTATGGTAGAGAAAAGTAAAGAGGGAGCTAAGAAAAGCAATGAGAATCTACAGAAAACCAGGAAATGGCTGCCAACATCTTAGTACTCACAGCACCATCTAAACTACACCATGGCGCCTTATGGCATTAGGAGAGCATTTACATTAGGAGAATTTAAGCCTTTTGAGGGCAAGGACCCTCTGACTTTCCTATCTGTATGCCTCAGGACCGAGCATGGTGCCTGACATGTAGGTGTTTAAATGCTCACAGATATACTGAGGTTCTGATTAGTGTGAAAAGTGAATCCCATGAAGCATCTGAATTTGCACTATTTGAAGTTATAATTAAGTAAATCAGTTCCAGCCCAGTGGAAACATTTGGTACAAATACAAATTAAACTCCGGTCTTCCTAACTTCAGGTCTAGTACCCCAGCTCTCTGGTAGATTGCTTGATTCAACATTTATTAAGTGCCTACTGCATGCCAGCTACTGAACTAAGGCACAAATTAAATAGTCCCCATCCTCAGCGAGCTAATCATGAGACATCACCAGCCTTGACCTTCAAGGAGGTGAGAGGATCAACTGATATTCTACAAACACAGCTATTTCCACGGGTCTATTTTGTACCCAACATCCTTAGATGAATCCAGGACCAGGCTGGCCCTGATGTGGCCTCTAGAGAAGAGAGCGGGGAAATTCCAGGAAGTTTTCCTAACGCCATCCGACATTCAGTCAATCCTGATCTGCTCAGTGAGCGACAGCTACAACATGTAGGTAACACCGAATCGGTTTCTTCTCGGCCATGGTACTTACTTTCTTAATGAAATTCGGGATGATTTTCTGGTCTGTCAGGTGGTCCAAGCAGGAGCAGCAATCTAATTCCAAGATGTACCCTTCATTATGAAAATCATTTTTCTGAGATCTGATGAGAGAAGAAAAAGACACAAATTTAGATCCTATGCAAAGGGGAGAGACAGACAGATAATGAATAAGACTGAATCTTTGGGTCACTGGAGCAATTACTTTTTTAAATTTTTATTTAATTTTATTTTTTTTAATGATTAATTGGAAGTCAATGTTGAAAGCTATTACTTTCTTAAAAGTCATGGTTCACAAATGCCCCATTCTAGAAAACAATGACTGATGGGCAAAAACATGAAACCAACTAATGAGTGATATATTTATATAAGGTGTCCTCAAAGTCTTAGTGAAGATGCTAAGCAATTAAAGCTTTAAGTTTTAAGAAATTAAAAGCTAAATTTTAAGCTATTAAAACTTCAACTAGTACTAAGACTTTTGGGATACCCTGTACCTTTATATCCATCATCTGGTTTGAATCTCCTAGCAACTCCATGAAGCATGTACCACAGGCATTATTATCCCCAGACTACAGACAAAGAAACCAAGTCTCAGAGGTGAAGGGACTTGCCCGTTGTTATCCAGTCTGAAAATATCCAAGGCAGGATTTGAACCTGGATCTTCCTGGTTCCAAGCCTAGGACTCTATCCATTGCACCACATTGTCTCATGTAAATAAATATCCCTATGTACACAGTCGTGCGTAAATGAAATTGAGACCAGTGAAAAACAAAGTGGGAGAATGCTGCTCAAGACTTCAAGGACAATTTTCTCCAGGGTGCGTGTGTGTGTGCGTGTGTGCGTGCGTGCGTGCGTGTGTGTGTGTGTGTGTGTGTGTGTGTGTGTGTGTAAATCAGCATAAAGTCTTCCTGGAACATGATAAACACCTCCACCCTGGATGGGAACTGGTCCCTACATTCTCTGCATAGCAGAGCTGTCTGCATGCTCCAAGTGGCCCCGCATCAAAGATGGCCCTAGAGTGGCCCGAAAAGCTGGGTAACAGCCAGTGCCCTGGCCCAGAAGGGACATGTTGCCACCCACACCTCAACCTCTCTGGCTTCCTTTAAATCTCAACTAAATCCCCATCTTCTACAGGAAGCCTTCCCCAGCCCCTCTTAATTCCAGTGCTTTCCCTCTGTTAATTATTTCCTATTTAGTACATAGCTTCCTTTGCATATATTTGTTTTCATGTTATTTCCCCCATTTAGATTTCAAACCCCATGAGGGCACAGACTACCTTTTGCTTCTTTTTTCATCCCCAGTGCTTAGCGCAGTGGCCGGCATGTAGGCGCTTAATAAATTGTTTCCTGTTAGTTTATTATATATTTAAAAGGAATAGCAAGTTATACATAATAGATTTGCAGTTTCATATGCCATTATCTTTTTATTATACCATGTTATCAAAAGGCTTGTTTTGTTCCATAAATTTAAAATAAAATAAATTTTAAAAAATAAATGTTTATTGGATTGACTGATTGATTTGGGAGAAATTCCGTATATTCCACATGGAGACACATGGATATGGGCAGCTGCCTAGAGAGGGAACAAGTAAGTACCTACTATGTGCTGGGCAGAAATACCATCTTATTTGATAAATCACACAGGGTACCAGCTGCCAGCTATTTAACAATTCTTAGCTCTAGCTGGACAGAAACCCAAAGAAAGGGAGAAGAATAAGAAAGAAGAAATTGGTCATTGGTGCTTCCTCCCCCATCCCTACCCCACCATTACCTTGTGTCTGTTTGGCCTGTAAATTCCTATTCACGTACACATGTAATCTCCTCCAACAGAATGGAAGCTCTTTAAAGGTGGGGACGATTCCCTAGTCTTGGGAGCCTCATCACTTAACGCAGCGTATGGTGCATAACAGATGACTAATAAATGCTGACTGACTGACTCATTCTACAACCGAGGAAATCGTGCCTCATGTTCTAGCCTTTTGGTCTGACTGGTGAATATTTTAGAAACCCACACTCCCATATGTATTTTTCAAATATCAGCTCTGGAAGCCCCTATAGGATAAAGGCAGGCTACATGAAGAACTGCCCAATCCAGCATGTGAAAATTCTATTTCTAAGGATCTTCAATAATTAAGAGCGACTGATGAAGCATGTGAACCTTCGCCCGTTGGCATGGAACTTATAATTTACACAAGATCTGAAATGAAAATTAAAAGGGTGGGGAGAGAATGAATGAGAGCAAAGGGGGCAGAAAACACAGGAGGTGTCGGGAGGCATCTCAATGAAGAATGCATGGAAAACCATGAGCAAGAATCACAAGAGATGAAATGGTAGAAAGGGGCTACCACCTAGGTACAGATCAGCACCCTCTCTGAAACTCAGGACACCTAGAAAGTTGCCTTGGGGCACTAAGAGGTGACATCATTTGCGCAGGGTCACCCGGCCAGTGTATGTCAAAGGCAGATCTTGAACCCACATCTTCTTGACTCTGGGAATAGCTCGTTATCTCAAGGAGTCTGTCACTTTTAAAATGACCAGATGACTTATTCAAAATTGCACTCAAAAGTCTTCCCAACTCAAATTATAACCTCACAGGAGTGCGATTGGGATTTCTCCAAGTGAACTACACTGAAATTATACCCCAGTCCATTTTCTGGTAACAAAATCCAGAACCTTGGGACACTCATTTCAACCCTTTCCTGCTTTCATGGTTTAAATCTATAATCTGAATGTAAAGGACTAGAAGAAGAGGTAAGCTAAAAGAAAGGTAGGGAAAGAGCCCAGACATCCATATGGAAAGAAAAATCCTAGAAACAAAGAACATATTAGCAAAATGATAGCTTTAAAAAAAGAGCAGAAGGAGAAAGATATAATTTTTTGCATCCTTTATTTATTAGGTTTCTTTTCGCCCAGATCTGTGATTACACTGATGTTGGGAATTACCAGATGAGAAAACTCCCTCCACCAATGCAGACAGAAACCTTCTTCACAACTTAAAGTCTTTTGTTTTTTTTAAGGCAAGTGTTTGATCTGAGGCCAGATTTGAACTCAGGTCCTCCTGACTTCAGGGCCAGCACTCTATCCACTGTAGCACCTAGCTGCACCTCACAACTTAAAGTCTTAAGAAAGCTGCATGGACTATTGAGAGGTGAAGTGACTTGCCCAGGTTCATACATATCAGGGGCAGGATCTGAATGGAGGTTTTCCTGACTCTGAGGCCAGCTCTCTATTCCCTCCCTGACACTCCTTCTCTACCTGGTTTATTTAAAAAATGCCAAGGAAGAGAGGTTAAATGATCAATAGATTAATGTCTACAGGGAGACAGGTTTCCAGCGCTCCAGGGCTTTGTCTGTCCTCTGTGACTTTCTATTCAAAATGTTAACCAATGACTTGATGAGAGGCAGACATCAAATTTACAGGCAGTGCAACAGGTGAGAGAGGTAGCTAAGCTGTTAAGAAATTTGGGGGGCTTGGAGGCTCACACGGCAAAACAAGGATTTCCTCCCGATCCACACTCCCTACAGCCACTCCCCTCAGTGATAACTGAGGAACTCAAAGGTTGGCAGACATACCCTGTCATCAGGCCACTTGTATAACACTCATATGAACACTGCTTGCTTCCCCACGACAGTAACAGAATTAGGACTGCTATCAACCACCCCTGAGCTTTCCTAGAAGAGACTGAAAGTGCCAGCCCCCGAACCAGGGATGAGCTCTTGAGGGCTGCAGTCTTTTGTCTCTGGAGTTCCTAGTGTGTGACAGAGCTTTGGGGCAGCTTGGGAAGTGACTGACACCTTTCCTGGAGGAGACAAAACTTAGGGGAACGAGAAGGAAAGCCAAAGTACTCCCAGTGCCTCTCCCTGAAGGTGGGTTAGGCTCTCTGATGTGTGACCCTGAGCAAAACACTCAACCTGTCTGCCTCAGCTTTCTCACTTATAAAATAAGGATAATAACAGCCCCTATCTCACAGGATTATTGTAAGCATCAAGTAACAATGTTTGTAAAGTGATTAACATAGTACCCGGCACACAGTAGGTCCTTTATAAATGCCCCTTCCTTTCCCTCCCCCCTTTCTTTGTATCCTCAGTGCTTAGCACAGTGCCTGACAAATGGTCAGTGCTTAATACACAGTAGCTGATGGCCTACGGGAGGCAGGAACACCACCAGTAGTGGATGAGAGAGACTTGGGTGAGCCTTGGGTGAAGGCCAGGGGAAAGGAGGGATAGTACTCCCCACACAGGGTGAGAAATACATGCTCCAGGCCCTCCTATGTTATTTCCATCTTTGCTTAGGAAGGATCCGAATGAGGGGTGATGTTAGGACACATCCTCTTCACAACTCAGTGAATTACTAGTATGTCAGCAGAGTGACCTCCTCCTAAGAGACATCTGCTGTGAGTCCTGCAGGGGAGGAGGTCAATCCAAAAGAGTTTCCAGGAAAATATTTTCCATTAATCAATAAACATTCATATAAATTCCTACTATGGGAAACACTGGTTGCAGAGGTTCTCAAAATGTGGCCTGGAGACCCTCCCAGAGGGTGTTTGAAGGCAAAACTATTTTCATAATAATAACATGACGTTTTAATTTTTAATACAGTAAATAATGCTACCACTAACTCACATAAACAAAAGCTCTTTTTGGGGGAGGGTCCTCACCTATTTTTCAGAGTGTAAATGGGTCCTCCTGAGACTAAAAAGTTTGAGAACCTTTGGCATAGTGAAGAGAGAAAAGTGGCCTCAAAGCCAGGACAGCCTGGTTATCTCCTACCTCGGATGCATCCTGGCTGGGGGGTCCTGGGCAAAAGGTTTAACTCTCCCAGGGCTCCAGGAAACCCCCTAAGGCTTTAACTCGTACACAGCGTTTGCTTCAGTAGGAGAAGCTGAGTGAAATCACAGGCCCAGCCCCACCCATCCCTATGCTGTGAGCTAAGCTAGGCACTGAGGAGACAGAAGCAAAACAAGCCTCACTTTGGAGGAACTCACATTCTGCAGAGGAGCCAACATGTAGACGTATGTCAACACAAGACAGATCCATGAAATAAATGCAAGGTGATGGGGAAGTGGGTGGATTTCTTGAGAAAACTCCAGTTCGTAGAAGAAGCTA